GGGTGAAGATTCAGCAGCAGAACAGGACCCAGAGTACAAGAACAGAGTTGAAACTTTCCCTGAAGTGTATCAGAGAGGAAACTTCTCCATCAAACTCAACAATCTTCAACACATTGATGCAGGAGAGTTCAAATGCCTCATCACACCATCAGATGAACAGAAGACTGTACAGATGATCATAAAGGGTGTGTAAAACTGCTTCATTAATATATGCGTCTTTTCATAAAAAAAAAAAAAGTTGGATCTGCTGTCTACTTTAGAGCAGTAATGTTGTTTTTCTTGCCATTTTAGAAAAAGAAAACCAAGAAGAAACAGGATCTGGTGTGGTGACAACATCATCTGTGTTCTGCATTGTATCACCTGTATTTATATTACTTACTCTTACAGTTATGGACTTTCAGTTGTTTTCTTCCTTGTTTCAGTACAAGACAATGTTTTGTGCTGTTATATTCTTATGCACTTTCTTGTTCCTTCTTTATACAAATATTAAATGTATTTAGTGTTCTGTATGTGCTATTTCATATTTGTGTTAAAATTAGAACCTTTACCAGGTCAAATACATTAATTAATTCAGGGTAGATATCTGCTATGCAGTTCTGCTGACTGTTGTCAGAGCAGAACTGACAACGGTCAGCTTATTCAGAACTTATTCACAAAATGTATAGATGATCTTTATGTGCTTAATCTGCTCTATTACAGTCTGATAAGGTTGGATCTACAAAATTAAAATAATTTTAAATAAAAATAATTTTTCAAATTAAAGTGAGCTTTAATATGCTATTTTGTCTACTTTTGGTGCTTGATATTTTATTGGTGTTTTTGTGTTTCTATGAAAAAAAAACAATAATGAGGTTTAAGGTTACCAATACGCAAAAAGTTAAAATGTTATTTAGGGGCGACCATTATTTTAGGTGGTATAACCTTATTATTTCCATGGCAATGCATCATCTTTATGTGCTTAATCTGCTCTATTACAGTCTGATAAGGTTGGCTCTACAAAATTAAAATAATTTTAAATAAAAATAATTTTTCAAATTAAAGTGAGCTTTAATATGCTATTTTGTCTACTTTTGGTGCTTGATATTTTATTGGTGTTTTTGTGTTTCTATGAAAAAAAAAACAATAATGAGGTTTAAGGTTACCAATACGCAAAAAGTTAAAATGTTATTGAGGGGCGACCATTATTTTAGGTGGTATAACCTTATTATTTCCATGGTAATGCATCATACATGACATGCCACAGCCACAATATTATTTTTCCTTTTTTTATTCAAAATATTCTCAAATATCTTGCATTTTGACTCTCAAATATATGCAGGTGTTTTTTTCTTCTTCGTTTAAACACCTTTATAATTACTATGTTGATCTTTAGGCCTAATTTCATTCAAAATTACATCACGTTTATTTCACTTGAAGTATATAGGGGTCTTAAGTGATTGAAATTTAAAAAAACAACTTGTGATTACAATCTAGGGTGCCCCTTGCTTTCAACCAACCCACCTTGCAGACGGCGGCCTACTCCTAGCTTCACAAGGTCCCCTGGGGGTCCCTAATGCTAAACACTCCACTTCTAATTTAAACTAAAGTATTCAGTTTATTTCACTTGAAGTATATAGGGGTCTTAAGTGATTGAAATTTAAAAAACAACTTGTGATTACAATCTAGGGTGCCCCTTGCTTTCAACCAACCCACCTTGCAGACGGCGGCCTACTCCTAGCTTCACAAGGTCCCCTGGGGGTCCCTAATGCTAAACACTCCACTTCTAATTTAAACTAAAGTATTCGGTCCCCAGGGTGTGCACGTAAAACCAGGTACCCATGTGCAACCAGTGCTGCGGACATTAAGAGATGCTTCGTATTCATAACCTGATGTCTCACTGACAGGTGTCTCGTTAAAATGTTGTAATGTTATTTGCAATGCAGCTGAATTTTAAGATACACCGCGGACCCAAAGACGTCTTGGCACTAAGTGTTTTTCCTGCTCTGGTGGTCAAGTGAAGATTAATTGAGAAGTGTCAAGTCTGTTTATGAAGGACCCCCATAATTAATAATTTATTAATCACTAACACCTGCCTCAGTTACACCATATGAATAGATCTATGTGATAAAATTAAAAACATGTACACAATGAAAAGAGCATACATTTACTTCATTGCATTGAGTTTCTCATTTCTTTTACGTTTCTTCAAAAATACCATACACCACAAATCACAATAACAATCAAAATCAGGATAATGTTAATATATGGTAAAAAAAAAAAACATCCACAAGCCTTCACTTTAAACATCACATGTAAAATAAAAATACACCATGTTTAAATATCTGCTCTGCAGGTATGTTAAAGCACATACAACATATTTTCCATTATTTATGGCATATGATATGGCACTATGAACTATCATGAATGACCTGAAGAGGGCAGTAGAGGAACTCTAAAGTCTAAAAGACTACCAGATGAAATGTCCAAAATATCACTACAGAAGCCATACGATCTCATAAAATCTAATAAAAACAATCTAATAAAAAGTAGAGATTTAATTGTTCATCTACCATACTTTTAAATAAACATGCCCAATGTTCATCTAATCCAATAAAAGACTGAATAAATAAATCTGCTGTGAGTGTGAGTTAAGTGATTCTGTGTGGTTAAGGTGTCATTTACAGCTCTGTGGTGTTTCCAGTCAGAAAGAGATGTTTGCTGGGTGACTGCTTAGAGGAAATAAATCTGGGTTACAGAATGAAGATCATACAGCTTTACAACTGTAAGTTTCTCACGCCAGATTTAAAAAGACTCGATTGGTTCAGTCATCAGTTGGATTTTCTTTTCATTTGATGTCTTATTAAGTGTGTTTTCATTTACATTTTCATGTGATTTCAAGCCACAGAGAGTCTAACAAACATACTCTTGACTAGGAGCAGAGGAGGTGGTGAAATCACCAGCCTCTCCACTGTTAGTTTTACAGCAGCATACAAATGTGCTCATTATGCAAACAGCAACTTCAAATAAATACCCACTGAAATGTGAGTCTGCCCCATCATTGCTCTTTTGTTTT